GCATGTTTTGCATCTGTACTAACCCTAGTTTTTATCGGAGGGCATCAATACTACACTCTCAAAACAAGGACAATTTCCAATTGAAAGGAGACAAACAAAAAGGTCCTTAGGACCAAAAGCTTGAAACATGTCATTTCCTTTACTTGGCAGCACCCAAGTGGTCAGCCCACGTGGCGGTGGGTTTTAATTTTGTTCAGAAAACAGTATTTGTCTGGCCTCCACTTACCCATTCATCAGGCCAGCCTCACATTTTCATTCACTTAATAAATATTCATATTAATTATGCGTCATCTGGGCACTTGTCTGGGTGCTAGGGAGACTCTGATAAGCCAGAGAAGGCCCCTGCTCTCAGCGAGCTTACATCAGAGGTGGGGAGTGGGATGGATAGTAAGCCAGGGAAACAAACATGGGAAATTAATTTCAGAAAGTGGTGAATGCTAGGAAGAAAATTAAGGCAGGATAATGTGACCAAGAGTGGCCCCAGGTCACTCATACCTCCAGGCACCAGGTTCGGACGCTCGGTTTCCAGCCGGATCCCGCCCTGAGATGCCATAGCTCCTCGCCCAGCTGTAGTTTCCCCTCCAGGTCCTGAAAAGCACCAGTCTTTGCCCAGTCTAACTTGTTTACAAAATAGCAGCTATAGGAATCTAAATGAGTGTCCTCTGTCATCAAACATAATCTAAATGGTCAGGATCAGAATCAGTGCCCAGCCAAGGCCAGTGGAGGAGCCAGCCTGGATTGACTGACTCTTTGAGGAGCCCTGGGCTCAGGGTTGCTGGCCCCTGATGTTATACTGAAGATTGTCCCGTCTATATCCCCAGCCTCGCTGTGTCTCCTGAATTCCAGACACACATGGCCAGCTGCCTGATGCAAGTATGTTTCTGGTGTTCGAGACAGAGCAAGACCTCTGAATAAGTCTTGACTTTACTCACTTCTCTCCATCCCCACTGCTGGCACTTTACCTTAGTCTGTGTCTTCTGTTGTATTACCCTGATCAGAGTCCTTAGTCCTTCTTTGCAGTAAGGCACACTGCATGCAGTCTATTATTCTCTAAAACAGACATCTGGTGAGGTCACTCCAGCTGCTCTAAATTCTTCCATGTCCCCTCCGCCCATTGCCCTCATGTGAAGTTGGCACACCTGGACACGATGACCCCCAGGCCCTCTGTTATGCAGCCTCATTCTCCTCTGCAGTCTGTTCTTGCCCAGCCTCCCTGCCTGCGCCTCTGGGCACCTGCACCCCATCACCTCCTCAGTGGTGCCATGCTCTCGTCCAGCTCTGGCCTTCCCACAGGCCTCTCCCTTCCCTGGGAGCACGTCCTTCAGTCCCATCCCACTGTCTTCAATTCTTCCTTTTGCACATCTAACAGTGAAGCCAGTTCCCCTGGGAAACCTCTAACCACTCCCTCCTCCCAGCCCAAAGTGTGGGTGAGGAGCCCCCCTGTATGTTCCCATAACATGGAATTGCCTACATATCATTAAACTATAAACTGTATGAGGCTGGCACCTGTCTCTGCCTCACCATTCTATCTCCAGCAACTAGCATAACACCTGGCACCAAGGGAGGTATTGAGTAGATGAATGGGTAGCCTGCCTTCTCTAAGTAAATCTTGGTTTCTTTACCTATGAAAAAACAAAAATGTACACACAAAAAACCCAACTTGTATAATATAAAATATCATGGGACTGTTACGGAAAACTTGTAACATACAGAAAAGTAATAGAAAAGAGTCTGTCATGACCTCACCAGGTAATAATGACTCCTGTTCTCATCCTGGCATATTTCTCTCCTATGTATAAATATATATGTTACTTTTGTTGTTAAAATTACACGATGTACTTTGTATTTTATTGTGGTAAAATATACGAAACATAAAATGTAACATTTTAACTTTTCAGTGGCATTAAGTACACTCAGGTGGTTGGGCAAATGTTACCAACTCTAAATCTCGGAACTTTTTGATCCTCCCAAACTGAAACTCTACACTCACTAAGCAGTAATGCTCTCTTCCCTGCACCCTGCAATTCATTTATTTTATTATTATTATTTTTTTTTTTTTGGCAGTTTTTTTGCCAGGGCCGGGTTTCAACTCGCCACCCTCAGCATATAGGGCTGGCGCCCTACTCCTTTGAGCCACAGGCGCCGCCCCCTGCAATTTATTTTTATTTGGGTTTGTACCAAACTGAAAATGGCTCTCTGCTCCCTTACCTTGTCCACATTAGCACCTCCATTTACTGTCTTTCTAGTAGTTCTGCACATCCTGCGGAAGATGCTGTCCTTCCAGGGTTATTTGGTTCTGTCGGGTATTTCAGTCAGGGTGAATTCCGGGTTGACAACATTTCTGAAATCTCATTTTATGCTGCATTTTCCTGTGCCAGGAACCCCGGTAATTTTAGGGGTTGTCAAGTCATAAAAAACATGGTGAGAAGAAATCACTGACGTTTTTAATGCGGGAGATTTACTCTTTGGTCAAGTTCCATCTCTGAATTTCTCTCCTAGCTGGGCATGGAGGCCCACACCTGTAATCCCAGCATTATTGGGAAGCCAAGGTGGGAGGATTGTGTGAGGCCAGAAGTACAAGGCCAGCCTGGACAAAATAGTGAGAACCCTGTATCTACAAAAATAAAAAATAAAAAAAATCAGTTGGGTATGGTAGTGTGCACTTGTAATCCTGGCTACTGTGGAGGCTGACATGGGAGGTTTGCTTGAGCCCAGGAGACTGAGGTTACAGTGAGCTATGTTCGTGTCACTACACTCCAGCCTGGAGGACAGAACAAGACATGTCTCTGAAAAAAAATTTCATTAAAAAATGTTATTTTCTAAGCATAAATAAATCTTTTGAAAATTTTACATAGTACTGCACATGTACAGGTCCGCAGGAGCACATCTTACCATTTTAAATTTCAGGTCAGGTCTTTAATTCCTAACTTGTTAAGAAGTCTGAGCAATTAGATAGTCCTCAGGAATAGTTTTCTACCTTGAAATAAACCTTCATGTCAACTACAGCCCCAGCCAAAAACTGCAAAAAAAAAACCCCCAAAAGTACTGAATATGATCATACTTGTCAAGGTAAAATATAAGCTCTTGGCTGGGCATGGTCCAGAGCAGGCGTCCTCAAACTACGGCCTACAGGCCACATGTAGCCCACCTAGGACATTTACCCGGCCCGCCAGGTGTTTTTGCCGCCACTGCCTGTCCTGCTTAGTAGCCGACTCGTCCCGGGGCCCGCAGTCCGGCCCTCCAACGGTCTGAGGGACAGTGAACTGACCCCCTGTTTTAAAAGTTTGAGGCCCCCTGGTCCAGAGGATCACTTGAGCCCAGGAATTTGAGGTTGCTGCAGTAAGCTATGACATTCTTTTCTCAAAAATAAATAAAAATAGGCTCAGTACCCATACCATAGTGGTTACGGTACCAACCACGTATAGCAAGGCTAATTGGTTTGAATCTGGCCCCGGTCAGCTAAAACAACAGTGACAACTGCAACAAAAAATAGCTGGGTGTCGTGGCGGGCGCCTGTAGTTTCAGCTACTGGGAGGCTGAGGCAAGAGAATCGCTTCCAGGGGTCCTCAAACTTTTTTAAACAGGGGGCCAGTTCAGTGTCCCTCAGACAATAGGAGGGCCGGACTGCGGGCCCCGGGACAAGTCGGCTGCTAAGCAGGACAGGCAGCAGTGGCAAAAACACCCGGTGGGCTGGATAAATGTCCTAGGCGGGCTGCGTGTAGCCTGCAGTCCGTAGTTTGAGGACCCCTGGAAGGCTTTGAGGTTGCTGTGAGCTGTGACCCCGTGGCACTGTACCAAGGGCTACTACATAGTGAGACTCTGTCTCAAAAATAAATAAATAAATAAATAAATAAATAAAAATAAAAATGCTCTCACCCAAATTAGAGCTCCAAGTTGCCCGCTTGTGACGAGAAGAACAATCCTGCAATTAGCAAGATTCAGATTCAGGTGATTCCCCTTTGTGGTTTCTCCTCCTCGTCCTGCACAGTTAGATGTTAGGGAATAGACCCTCCACGGGAGAAGGAATGAGAACATCTGACTGGATTGTCTCTGAAAAAATAAATATATTTCCTTGCTTGTCTTCATAACAGTTCTCCAAAACTACGTACCTTGGCCAGAGGTTTGTCTCCTGCTTACCTGAGATTTGGTGGCACCAAGACAGACTTCCTAATTTTTGATCCCAAGAAGGAACCGACTTTTGAAGAGAGAAGTTACCTGCAATCTCAAGTGAACCGGGGTAAAACATTAACCATTTATTTAATTAACTTGAGTCAGTCATGAGAATACTTGGAGAAATGGCTATTGTTCACACCCAGCAGTGAGAAAGTAATAAGGGCTCCTCTGCCCCAACTGAGCTAAACCAAACAGGGGCCGGTGGGGTGCCGTGGCTCACACCTTGATCTTAGCACTCGGGGAGGCCCAGGTGATTGGATCGTTTGAGCTCAAGGGTTTGAGACCAGCCTGAGCAAGAGCGAGACCTCGTCTCTATTAAAAAGAGAAAAAATTAGCCAGGCATAGTGGTGCATGCCTGGAGTCCTAGCTACTTGGGAGGCTGAGGCAAGAGGATGGCTTGAGCCCAGGAGTCTGAGGTTGCTGTGAGCTATAACACTATGGCACTCTACCCAGGGCAACAGAGGGAGACTTTGTCTCAAAAAAAAAAAAAAGAAAAGAAAAGAAAAGAACAACAAACAAATAAACAAAACAAATGGACAGTTTTCCTCCTCATGATGTTTTCATAAATGTGAGACTTTACAAGAAAAGGTGTGTATGTACAACTGAGAGTGAATTGTGCTGTAAACAGGATTGTAGCCGAGGCACAGAGCTGCTTGGAGGGCACGTGTGGGTAGAAATGCATCAGACTGGAGAGAGCATTTCCAGAGAAGACATGGTGGGAGACGGAAGCGCATTTATTCAGGAAATAGAACCTGAATGAAAGATAGAGCGAGGGCACGTGGAGATAAGACTCTGCTTCTAAAAGTAGAGTACACTTTAAGACTTCATTTACTGGGCGGTGGTTCTCAGGTTTTATTGAGCATCAGTAACCACCTGGGTGAGTTTGACTATTTGGATTTCTGGGCTCCAACTTAGATCGCAAATTGAGAAAGGTAATCCTGATGTCGGACATCTGTGGGTGTCACCTGAAAAACCTGCACTGGGATCGTCCTGTGGCTTTCAGAGGTGCTGTCAGACACTGAGTGGAAGCTGAGTCATTATCTTAATGATGTGTTCTGTATCCATCATGGAACCACACCAGAGTATGTACACTGTATACATTCAGGAGGAATATTTAATTATTTCATATTTTTCTTCTGTTTATTATTTCCAATTAGCAAGTATTTAGAACAGTTCATCAGTCATTGGGCCAAAATTGATAAAAGAGTAATTAAAAAAAA